AGCACAGGGCCTAGAATGGTGGCCTGAGCTCTGACTCTGTCCTCATCCCTCTTTCAGCTTCACGCCAGGCTCCTGCACACTGACAGCCTATAAGCTGACCCCCAGTGGCTATGAGTGGGGTCGCCAGAACACAGACAAGGGCAACAATCCCAAGGGCTATCTACCCTCACATTATGAAAGGGTCCAGATGCTGTTGTCAGACCGCTTCCTTGGCTTTTTTATGGTTCCTGCCCAGTCCTCCTGGAACTACAACTTTATGGGTAAGTTGGGGAGCACAGGGAAGTGGGGCTGGGGTTAGGCCATCACCCTTGGCACTTGGGGCTTGACTCTGGGCCCACGCTGGGTGAGGCAGGTGCACCTGGTTAGCAGTGGCCCTTTCCTTCTTCCCCAAGGTGTCCGGCACGATCCCAACATGAAGTATGAGCTGCAGCTGGCAAATCCTAAAGAGTTCTACCACGAGGTGCACAGACCTTCCCACTTCCTCAACTTCGCCCTCCTGCAAGAGGGTGAGGTCTACTCTGCGGACCGAGAAGACCTCTATGCCTAATTGTTTCCTCACCTCCCCCTGCTTCAGACGTCCCAAAGACTGGAACCTTTTACCCCCAAAGAAAAGCTGGTGACATTCAGCAGCTTGGTCCCTTTTCCCCCTATTTGTGCTTCTTGTGTTATGGTATTTGGTGGCTTGTAGTCCTGAGGAAAATATAATAATAAATTTTGTATAAATAGGAGTTTTTGTGTTCTGTTTGCTGCTCCCTCCCCCACCCCGGGTTCAAATTCTGGGTGTAGGGATGGCAGGAGACTGGACTTGATCACAGCCAAGTGCTGGCCTCAGCCTTAAAGGGGCATGAGGCCCCTAACCGGGCTGTGGACCAAGCATCCCCTAGATTCAAGGAACTGAGGTGGGGTTGGGCTTTCATACCCTTAGTGCCTTGACCCCATTTACCAACTGCCCTTCAAAATATTTGCAAACCGTCACTCCTTTCAACATCCTTTGGAGCGGCTGCTGCCATTTTCTGAGTCTGGAAGTTTGGATTTTTTTCCTCTGAAACTGTGGTGCCCAGCGTAGCCCCTTAATCTGTGTGTCACTGGTGGTTGGGAAAACAGGCACATGGCTGGACAGATGGCTGTCTGGCTGAGGCCAATGAGCCCTCCTACCTCACCTCTCGCCTGTAGTACTTGGCAGCGAAGTTGGGCCTCATGACTCCCGACACAGGGGTGGAGCCTGGATTGGGCACTGTGGGGAGGGATTGACAAAAGTGACCACTTAGAGCCCTGAGCCTCAGCTCTTGGACGCCTGGCTGCACGTAGGCAGTCCTGCTTCCTGTGACCTTGGGGGCTTGAACAGGACAGGGCCCAGGGGGCCCAGTGCACTACCTCCTTCCCCAAGCCTTTTAATCGCTCCTCTGTCGCTTCTTCCCCGCCCTCTACTGCTTCCTGGGCCGGAACTGTTGGGCTTTTTCCTGCCCCGGTTAGGGTTGGAGGGGGCGGGCGTTGTCGCAGCCCTTAACTTTCTGGGAACATGGAGCCCCGGAAGGCGGTGCCTGGGGCGCAGAGCAGCGGGCCTCGGGTGGCCGCGGGGTCAGAGACGGCCGCGGAGCTCGTGTACCAACTAGCGGGGGCCCTGGGCGCGGAGCTGAAGGAGCTGGCGCGCCGCTTCGGGCCGGAGGCGGCGGCCAGGCTAGTGCCACTCGTGGGGCGGACGCTGGAGCTCCTGGAAAAGGCTGCCGTGGGGCCGGACCCAGACTCAGTGAGTCACCGCGCTTCCCCCTGGCCGCCCGCAGGGCTGGTGGGAGCCTCGCCCTCACAGCCTGGCCTCCCCAGCTCCAGGTGTCAGCGCAGCAGGCCGAAGTGGAGCTGCGGCGGCTGCGGGAGGAGAACGAGCGCCTCCGCAGAGAGCTGCGCTCGGGGCCACAGGGTGAGTGCGGGCACCGCCAAGGGGCGGCGGGGCGGGCCGGCTCGGGGCCTCCTCCCTGGGCCGCTGCTAAGAACGCCCCTTCCTCAGAGGAGCGCGCTCTCCTGAGGCAGCTCAAGGAGGTGACCGACCGCCAGCGGGACGAGCTCCGCGCGCACAACCGAGACCTGCTGCAGCGCAGCCAGGAGACCGAGGCGGTGAGGGCGGGGCCGGGCGATGGGCGTGAGGCGGGGCTCCCCCGCTCCACCCAGCGACGCCCCGCCCACCTCCTCTTTTGCTCCGCCCCCAGCTGCAGGAGCAGCTGCAGCGCCTCCTACTGGTGAATGCCCAGCTGCGGCACAAGCTGGCCGCGGTACAAACCCAGCTGCGCGCCGCGAGGGACCGCGAGAGCGCGCGGCAACTACAGCGCCGGGGGACCGTGGAGCTGGCGCGGGACCAGGCCGGGACGGCCGGGTACGAGCAGAGGCAGGAGCCCGAGCGGGCCACCGCCGACGCAGGAGCCCCGGGGACCCCTGAGGACCCGGTGAGTGCCCAGCACGGTACTCACAGGTCTGGTACTTGGTGGGCACTCGGGAAGGGTGCTGCGTAGCAGGTCCACCGGGAAGGTGGGAGGCGGCACACAGGCGCGCGGCGCCGGCCGGCCCCTGCTCCCACGCCCAGCCGGAGCACTGGGCTGTCATCTGTCGCAGCGCCCTCGCCTCCCAAGTCTCCCTGCCCGCCACTGGCTTTAGGAGTCCTGAGGTGGCCCCCGGGGCAGGGGAGCGCCGGTGGAGGCAGCCCTCTGACCGAGCCTGTCCTCCCGCAGGCGGGTGCCGTGCAGCCGCCCGGGCGCCCCTCCAAGGCAGGACAGTGCAGCTTCAGTCGAGAGGAGCTGGAGCAGATCCTTCAGGAGCGGAATGAGCTCAAAGCCACCGTGTTCCTGCTGAAGGAGGAGTTGGCCTACTTCCAGCGGTGAGGGCGGTGGGCAGGGGCTGGGAAGCTCAGGGGCTCCTCTCACACCTGTCCGGGGGCCTCACGTCACCTGCTTCATTCTGTGGCTCACTGATCTATCCACAGTGACATGTGCCAGGCACTGTGCTGGACACCGGGAGGACATGAATCACACAGCCCCTGCCTTCCTAGAACTTCTTCCAAATGGGGGAGGAGGTAGTACAAAAAGTCACAGCAGCGGTCAAAGACAGATTCCTAGGAGGGAGCAACACCTAAGCTAAGTCTGAGGGGTGTGAGCAAGGCAGAGTGTTTCAAACAAAGGGAACAACATGCACAGGTACTTGGGATGAGACCGACTGTTGGCTTTCCCGCTGCTTACTCTGCCCTTTTCCCTCCTCTGTAGGGAGCTGCTCACAGACCACCGGGTCCCTGGGCTTTTGGTTGAGGCCATGAAGGTGGCTGTCAAGAAGCAGCGGAAGAAGATCAAGGCCAAGATGCTAGGGATCCCAGAGGAAGCAGAAAGCAGGTAAGTCCCTGCCTCCATTCCCACTGAGCCGGTCCTCCCTTGCTAATTCTGCCGAGCCTGATGACCCAGCCTAGTCATGCTCTAACCCAGCCTAATCACCCCTGGAGCCTACCGCCTTAGCCTCAGCACTGCCTGAGCCTGTCACCTAGCCTAGTCACTTCTTCAACCTGCTAACCTGTCCTGGTCACCCCCTGAGCCTGCCACTCCGGCCTGGTCACCCCCTGAGCCTGCTGTCCAGCCTGCCACCCTTCTCTCTGGATCGCACTGCTCTGATTTGCCATGCTCACTATACCTCCTGCTGAAGAAATCTGGTAATGATGCTTCTCCACGTGAGTTTTTCAGTTTCCTGTCTTAGCTGGATCTGTTTGTTCTCAGAGGGTTAAGAATATAATTACAGCCACGTCAGGGCCTGCTGTGAGGCTATAAAATAAAAGCCTCAAGATGTCCTTCCTTCATCTCCCTAGCACCTCCTCCTCTCCAGCCTTGAGGGTCCTGTAGTCACTCTATCCTCCCTTGGCTGTTCCTGGGTACTGTGCAGAAGGCTGGACATAGCTGGACTCCCCTTGTCCCCCAGGGCCTTGATAAATGACCCCCACATCTCCTCTCTCCCCCTCTCTGCCTCAGTGACGATGAAGACAGCTCATGGCTCCTGCTCTCCAGTGATAAGGGAGCCCACCCTCCACCCACTGAGTCCAGAATACAGAGTTTGTATGTTGGGGGAAGAGGAAGGGCAAAGGTTGTGGGGGTGAAGGAAGGGCCCCACCTTTGTTCTTCTCCCCTTTCCTGCTCCACTGACATTCATCCTGCTGTCCTGAGCTCTAAGCATGCCCCTCCCTCCGTTGGCCCTGGCCCCTTCGCCTCCTCAATACCTCATGCTGTCCTCCCTTCCTATTGTATCCCCTTTCCTTACCACTCCCTGAGCCCATAGCCTTGACCTCTCTGGCATGCAAGCTCAAAATACCTCTTGGTTCTCCCCCCAGCTTTGGCCTGTCCTATCAGGGTGAAACAGAAATCCCTGAAGCCCAGACCAGCAGCATGGCTCCCAGTGAGCTAGGGGGAGAAGAGGAGGCCCCACAGCAATCCCACTTGGAGCCTGGGGGCAGCCCCACAGTCCTCAACTCCTGACTAGCTCTGCTCAGCACTCGACGAACATCTTTGTCTGGGGGGTCTCAGCTGCCCCCAGAGACCTGACTTTGGAATTGGGCTATGGGTGGATGTGTGGCCTCAGATGAAGACAGGGCTCCCTCCTTCTCGGCCCTCCCCAGGCTCTTTCCCAGTCCTGGCCTGAGCCAGGGCATGATGAAGAGCTCAGCCTACCTTCCTTCCCTGTATCTCTGTGCCAAGCCTCAGGGGCCAGATAAAAGTGCTTCCTTCCGGAGTCTCAGTTTTCTCATCCATAAAATAGAGAGCTAACTACCTACCTCCCAAGGCTTTGTGAGAATGGCCTAAGCTAATGTAATAAAGCAGCTGCCCACGATACCCAGAAAGGGCTCCATGTCTGTGTGTTAGTCGTCGGCCCCTGCCTGGCTCCGCCAGGACAGGCTGTGGTTTCCTCACGGGTCTTGTTGGTAGTGGGTGGGGAGCTTCTCCCGGCTAGGGCCTCACTTGCGTAGTATGACCTAATGGAAAGACGTGGCTCCCCCTCTCACCGCACACCCTCACCTATCCCCCAGTGTCCTGGGACTTGCAGCTCCATCTTCCTGCCCCGTCCAGACTGCCCCCACTCAGCCTTCACCAAGGCCTTCCTTTCCTTTTCATTTCACTGGTGTCTGGTCTTCCCAGCACCCACCCACCCGCCCTCTCAGGGAGGTGCCTCATGGCAGCCCGCCCCTTCACACTGGTTTCCTCAGGAAAGGCCTTGGAAGGAAGCAGGGAGGGGGTTGGGAGCCGTGGGGGCCAGACTAACCCAAGCGTTCCCGCTGGACTGGCCGCCATGGGGCTGAGGCTGCTCCCACTGTTGCTGCTCTGGACACAGGGGACCCAGGGGTCCAAGCTGGACCCCAATGGGCGGCATGTCTGCATGGCCAGCAGGTGGGTCTTTGTGGGAACCTGATGTGGGGGCGGGGCTGGTCGAACTGGTGTTGAGGCATTGCCGGGAAGGAGGACGTGAAGGGAAGGGGGCCTGGGGACAGGCTGGAGGGAGGTGGATAGTCAAGGTCAAGGTGGGAGGGCCAGGGATGGGATTAGGGACACTGGGACTGTGACTCTTGGCTAGACCTGCCTGATGGGGCTGAGGCAGCCTCCCACATCTCAGCCAGAGACAGTGATCCACGTGCGGAGCCAGTGTGTCCCCCGGCTGACCCCTCTCTGCCCCACAGCCCCTCTGCTGAGCTCCAGTGCTGCCCAGGCTGGAGGCAGAAAGATCAAGAATGCACCGTCCGTGAGTAGCCAGAATGGATCCCCACCCGAGAAGAAATGAGGACGTAGCCCAGTGACCCTTCCTTCCTCTCCTCCTGGGCCTATTTCCCCTCCTGAACCCTAGAGCTAGAGTCCATCCTGACACACATACCCCCGCCCTGAGGGAATGGCTCTTGAGGGGGCAGGGTGCTGGGGGGCAGTGAGAGGGGCCGAGTGTCCCCTGGTTGGGCCATGCCACTGTCCTTTCCACCTGGGTGGGATGTTTTTCAGCCATCTGTGAGGGGGTAGATGCCTGCCAGGAAGATGAAGTATGTGTGAAACCAGGCCTCTGTCGATGCAAACCTGGATTCTTCGGGGCCCAGTGCAACTCCCGTGAGTCCTAGTTTCAGCTGGAGGTTGAAGTTGCTAGGCAGAACTGGGGAGCCGGGAGGCAAAGCAGGTAGAAATGTGATCTTAGAACAGCAGGGCCACTGAGGAAATTGAGGCCCAGAGTCAGGAAGTGACGCATTCCTGGAAGATGCCCTGAGTCATCTGGTTTTCACCCATATCCACAAAGCACTAGGCAGAGTTTCAGTTGTCTGCCCTTCACCATCATGTTCAACTTCTCAGAAAAGACGCAGGTTATCCGTTAATTGCAAAATGGGCACATTCTCAGTCTCCCTTCCATGCCCTTTCTGGAGGGTGGAAGGACACCCATGGCTGGAAGAGGGGCAAGGGAAAGGGTCTGGTGGGCAGGATGGCCAGAGAGCAGGAATCAGGGCTGAGAGGAGACACTAGGGGCAAATGTGGCTTCCCTTGTGACCCTCACGGTCAGCATCTGGGCCGGGGTGGACACTCAGTTTACCTCGGGGGGGGGGGGGGATGCGGGGATGGGCATGAGAGGAAGGAAATGCTACTTCTGTGTGACTCTGGGCAAAGCTTCTCCCACTCGGGAGCTTTCAGTGTGCTCTCGAAGTAGAAAGCTGGGCCACTGCAAAGGGTTTTTGTGGTTCCCAGTCAGAGGCAGGAAGTGAGCTGTGCCCCAGGAGGCTAGGCTGCCAGACGTCCAAGGGTCTGTCTCTGGCTCTTGGGGGTGGGCCTGGCGCCCCCTCTTCCTTGTGGACGGGGGCGCGAGGCGGAGATCGGCGCCTGGCCCTGGGCCCGCTGACCCCCTTCCGTTCCCCGCCCCCCCCCCCCTTTGCAGGCTGCCCGGGCCAGTACTGGGGCCCCGACTGCCGTGAGATCTGTGCGTGCCACCCACACGGCCAGTGCGAGCCGGCCACAGGCGTGTGCCACTGCCTAGCGGACCGCTGGGGCGGCCGATGCGAGTTCGCGTGCGCCTGCGGCCCCCACGGGCGTTGCGACCCCGCGACGGGCGCGTGCCGCTGCGAACCCGGCTGGTGGTCGTCCACTTGCCGCCGTCCGTGCCAGTGCAACCCGGCGGCGGCGCGCTGCGATCCAACCGACGGCTCCTGCCGCTGCGAGCCGGGCTGGTGGGGCCGCCGCTGCAGCTTCCGCTGCGCCTGCCACGGCTCGCCGTGCGCGCAGGAGACGGGCCGCTGCGCCTGCCAGCCGGGCTGGTGGGGCCCCGACTGCCGGCAGCCGTGCGAGTGCGCGCGCGGCCGCTGCAGCGCCGCCTCCGGCCAGTGCGCCTGCCCGCCGGGCTTCCGCGGCGCGCGCTGCGAGCTGCCCTGCCGCGCCGGCAGCTACGGGCCTCACTGCCGCGACAGGTGAGCGCGCGGCTGCGGGGCTGAGGCCGGGGGCGGGGCGGGGAGCGCGGGGGGCGGAGCCGCGGGCGCGGGGAGGGCGTGCCGAGCCGCTGAGGGGAACCGGACGCGAGGGACGAGCCGGGCAGAGGCGGGGGCGCGGGCAGAACCGGGCGCAGTGCTCCCCGCAAAGACAGACGGGGGCGGGACGCGAGGGGGAGAAAGACCCTCGATGGCCTAGGTCCAGCCTGGCCCAGCCCTTCGCCCGGTTCCTCTCAAACAATAGTAGTACCAGCAAGCTATGCTTAGAAGCAGATAAAAGATGAATCGCGTGACGAAACGATTGCAGGGTGCCTTTAAAACTTAGTGGCTTTCAAACTTTGGCCGCCCCACCCACAATAAGAAATGCGCTTTGGGGCGCCTGGCCGCCTTAGTAGGCAGAGCATGCGACTCTTGATCCCGGGGCTGTGGAGTGGCAGCCCCGCGTTGGGGGTTGGGCATGGCGCTTACTTAACGACAAATAAAAACAAACCAAACAACAAAAAGAATGCGTTTGACATCCCACCTCTCTCCCTCTCAATACACACATCAGTGAGGTAAAAGCTTAACCAGACAACATATACTTATCTTTGCTTCATGTATTATATGTAATATATATGTACATATCTGCATATATTACATATGTGAGATGCACACACACACTGTAATGTTTTATTTCTTTAGCTTTTCTTTTCTTTCTTTCTTTCTTTCTTTTTTTGATGCTGGTCTGCTAAATTGATTTTATGAACAAATGAGTCTGATCCAAGCATATGATTCCAGATAATTACCTGGAGAGAAACTTTTTTCAAGAAACTGTTAAAGAATCAATAAGAAATTAAGATAAGGAAAACCTTAGCGGAAAGTAGATCCCAAGAGTTTTCGTCACAAAGAAAAAAACATTTTTTCCCCTTTTTGTACCTCTCTGAGATAAGGAATGTTAACTAAACTTACTGTGGTCAGCATTTCACAATGTATGTAAGTCAAGTCATTATGCTGTTCACCTTAAAGTTACACAGGGCAGTATGACAGTCACATCTCAAAAAAACCCCCAAAAACAACTGGGGAAAACTTTTTTATTTTTTTAAAGATTTTATTTATTTATTTATTAGAGAGCAAGTGAGAGAGAAACAGCATGAGAGGGGAAATGGTCAGAGGGAGAAGCAGGCTCCCCACTGAGCCAGGAGCCCGATGTGGGGCTCGATCCCAGAACTCCGGGATCATGACCTGAGCCGAAGGCAGTTGCTTAACCAACTGAGCCACCCAGGCGCCCTTATTTTTTTTTTTAAAGATTTTATTTATTTATTTGACAGAGAGAGACACAGCGAGAGAGGGAACACAAGCAGGGGGAGTGGGAGAGGGAGAAGCAGGCCTCCTGTGGAGCAGGGAGACCGGTGCGGGGCTCGATCCCAGCACCCTGGGACCATGACCTGAGCCGAAGGCAGACGCTTAACGACTGAGCCACCCAGGCGCCCCAAAACTTTTTTTTTTAAGATTTTATTTATTTATTTGAGAGAGTGAGTGAGAGAGAGAGCGAGCCCAAGTGGGGGAGCAGAGGGAGAGGGAGAAGCAGACTCCCCACTGAGTAGGGGGCCCAATGCGGGGCTTGATCCCAGGATCCCGAGATCATAACCTGAGCTGAAGGCAGACGCTTAACGCACTGAGCCACCCAGGCAGCCCGAAAACTTTTTTTTTAAACATAAGGTAAACTTGAAATTATACTGATGAAAGCAGACATGTTTTAATTTTTCTGCATTTTCATGTTATGGGATAGGAGATACATGGAGTCCCAATCACGCCAGACCTCAGAGATGGCGTGGATAGGAGGGTTGAGAGGAGAAAAGGGATAGGAGGGAACACTGGGGAGAAAGTTGGCCAGAGTAACTTGGCTGTTCTGGCTCGGCTGGGAGCTCTTGGTGACTGTGGGACCCTAGGAAGGCTGGGTTCTGGAATGGGAAGTTAGAAGGAGAGGGCTGGAATCCTACAGAGATCCTCTGTCCAGCCTTTTTGTTGTACAACATGGGGAAACTGAGGCTCAAACCTGCCTGTGAGTGCCCTGGATGCTCTCCAGTGTCCCTGGAGGCCTGGGTGGGGACTCGTTCTGTCCGCTCCGCAGTGCTCCCATGACTCCTCCTCTTCCCAGCTGTGGCCACTGCAAGCAGAAGGAGCCGTGCTCTGCAGACACAGGCAGCTGTGCGTCCTGCGAGCCAGGCTGGAACGGAACCCAGTGCCACCAGCCCTGCCCACCTGGCACCTTTGGCGAGAGCTGCAGGCAGCTGTGCCCCCACTGCCGGCTTGGGGAGGCCTGTCAGCCAGACACCGGGCACTGTCAGCACTGTGAGCCTGGGCGGCTGGGGCCCAGGTGAGGGGGCCGGCCTGTTCCGGGTGGGGTGCGCCTTCCTTCAGGATCCTCATTCCAGCTGCTCCCTCTGGGATGGCTGCCCCCCCCCCAAAACGCTCATTCACACAGCCTTGGGGGCCTGCCTCCTGGTGAAGACTGAGGCAAGAGAGATGGGTGCTGATGAGGCCCTGGGCAGGGTTCTCTTCCGGCTCCTTCGCCACTCAGGTATCCTGCTCTCTTCTTCTTCCTCTAGGCATCTGTAGTCTGTCACCTCTTGGGTTTGGCCCCAGGTTCAAGGCCCTGTTTACGCCTGAGCTTCACTGCTGAGGAGTAGACAGTTGGGGCCCTGAGTCCAGAAGCATGGGGGAAGATGGGTAGGACCCCTTGTGGGGGGCTCTGCCCTGCCAGGCCTGCCCTGCCCGCCCATCCCAAGTCTCCCCTCACCTCAGGTGTGAAGAGCCCTGCCCGACCGGGACCTTTGGGGATGGCTGTAGCTCCACCTGCCCCACCTGTGTTCAGGGGACCTGTGATGCTGTGACTGGGGAATGTGTCTGCCACGCTGGCTACTGGGGACCCAGGTGAGAGAACTGGGGCCCTGGCACGGAGGCAGGGGCCTAGGTCAGGCCTCTGTGCAATCTGTTTCCTGAACTTCCCTTCCGGGGCTTCTCTGCCTCCCACATACCCACCCCGCATGTTCGTAACTGCGAAGTTATTCCTCCTGTTGTGAGGCCTGCATCTTCCAGATGAGGGTCAGAGTGATGCTTCATCTAAAAGGCCTGGCTCCCTAACTAGGTGGAGGTTATTTAGGGGTAGGACTCCAACTCCATTGTTGTTTCCCTGACGTCTTTAGGTGGTAGAACATAATCAAGGTCAATGTCTCCAACGTCAGGTTTTCCACCTCTAGGACAGAATGTAGTATCAAATGGAAGAGACCTCATTTTATAGAGCAGAGGACCAAGGCCCAGAGCGTGGGGCAGAAAGCGGGCTTAGACCTCCAGACCCAGAGGACTTTTCTCTGGATGCCGTTGGCATCTTGCTTATTGCACTTAGTGCCAGATGGGCTAGGGATGAGGATCATGAGAGGTGGCTCTTGTCTGAAAATTATACCCTGGGGGGCTGGGCACCAAGGGGCAGCTTCTGGGTGGCCACTCTGGAAGGTGGGCTTAGGGGCTAGGGCATTCTCCCAAACACTGCCAGGGGTACTTAGAATGTGGCTCAGAGGTCAGAGGAGTCTGCTTGGGCATCATCCGGGGAAGTCTGTATGGCGGGGGCGGGGGGGGAGCAGTGCCCAGAGATCTGCCTTCCCCTGTGCCCTTCTCTTGTCACCCCATAGCTGCAACACGTCATGCCCACCTGGCTTCCATGGTAGCAACTGCTCGGATCCCTGTGAATGCCCAGAGGGACCCTGCACCCCTATCTCTGGGGCCTGCCAGCTGGGTAAGGTGGAAGGGAGGGGGCAGGGCGCCTGGGGGGCTCGGTCAGTGAAGCAGCTGCCTTCGCTCAGTTCGTGGTCCCAGGGTCCTGGGATCGAGCCCCACGTCGGGCTGGGGAGTCTGCTTCTCCCTCTCCCACTTCCCCCCGCTTGTATTCCCTCTCTCGCTGTCTCTCTGTCAAATAAATAAATAAAATCTTTAAAAAAAAAAAAGAAAGAAAGAAAAAAAAAAAGGAGGGTGCGGGGGCAGTAACCAGGGAAAGACTGGCCCTTTATATGGCTCCAGGGACCTACCACTTGCCAGGCAGACTGGGCTCACTTAGGAGGCATTCCCTAGGCCTGAAATCTGTATGGTTACTTTGGGGTCCCTGAAGATATGACAGCCCCTGCCTCCTGGGAAACCAGGCTAGCATCCGGGAAATGAGCAGGCACCTGTCACATCTGATACACAGGGATGTAATGCACAGGGGATGTGTGCCAGGTGTGACAGTTGGGAGCAAGGGCTTGTGGAACAGGCCAGGGACCATCAGGAGGGGACAGGCTAGCAGGGAGGCTGCCTTGGGGAGAGGGCCTCAAGGCCGAGTAGAGCCTGTATCTCTCAGAAAAAGGGGAGGGACCATAGGTGGAAGGTTCTGGGGAAGAGGCAGCTCAGAGCTGGAGATGAGACAGAATGGCCCTGAATATTTGGCCATCCCCTGCTCTCCCCCTCTCCCCCCGCTCTCCCTAGGGTCTCGCAGTCAGGATGCGGCCCTCATTGCAGGCATCCTTGTACCTCTGCTGCTCCTCCTCCTGGGCATCATCTTCTGTGTCTGCTGCTGCCGGGCCGCCCGGTTGGACCCCAAGGACAGGTGAGCTCTGGCCTGTCCCTTCCCCACCCCCAGCTCAGGCCAGGGGGTTGGGAGCAGGCTGGCATCTGGTTTCCTTTCAGGGGTGGGGAAGGGCTGGCCTTGTCACACACTTAAGTCAGAGGTAATGAGGTAGTTGGCAGTGGCCACAGCCTGGACACACCAGGTCAGCTGCCTGCCTTCCTTGGAAGCCTTCCAGAGGCGAGTTTCCAAGTTGCAGGACTGGGAGCAGTGAGCACTGGGCCCCAGGCTGGCGAAACTCAAATCTGTGGCGTGTGGCCGAGGGTTTATTAACAGGCACCAGAGCAGGAAGGCGGGGAAGGCAGAAGCAGCAGGGCAGTGCTGGGCCTGGAGGGGAAGAGACTAGGCCTCAACACCTCCCCATTTCCTGAAAGGAGAGTGAGCGGCACTTTATCAGAGATGGTGGCTTTCTGAGAGAAAGAGATAAGAGAAAGGATTAGGGTGGCTTACGGGGGTGGGGGGTGCCCACTGGAGGGGAATGTTGTTTGCACAGAACTTTGTTCCTTTACAAAATCTCTTCACAATTCTTGGTTCCTTGGAGACTCACAGCAGCAAGGAGGTTCGGAGCAGGGAATCTGGGGGCAGGAGGATTAGCATTCTCAATTCTCAGAGGAGGACACGGAGGCCTAAGGTGACCCAGCCTGTCAGTGGCATGCACAAAGCCCATGCTCTGTTTTTCTGGATTCTCTGTCTGGTGCTCTCTTACTGGTTCATGCGCTAATCCCTGAGCATCCCCGTCTGTGCTGTGGGGTATTCACAGATGACCCAGTAGCCCCCTGCTGGGGCACAGAGCCTGGGGGTGGGGAAGAAGACCTTCACACGAGGACAGAAGTGGACAAAGGCTGTCACAGGAATGGTAACAGTGAAGCCGTGGCTTCCAGCTTGGGGGTGGGGTCAAGGACAGGCTTCCTGGAGGGGTGGTGCTTCCAGAAATGTAGCTGAGCTGGGACTCAGCCAGGGTGATAATAACACAAAGCTGCATTTTGGGGAAACCCCACCAGGTGCCCGGCACTAGGCTGGGTGCTGGAAAATGGTCTGATAGATAGGCGTTGTCCCCACTTGACAGATGAGGAAACTGAGGCCCAGAGAGGTCGCATGTACTGACCTCCCTTCTGTACCCCCAGGCCAGCAAGCGATGGAGCTGCTGTGTCCAGGATGAAGCTGCAGGTCTGGGGGGCACTGAGCAGCCTGGGCTCGGTGCTACCCTGTGGTTCCTTCAGCAGCCACAAGCTTCCCTGGGTGACAGGTCAGTGTGGGTGCTGAAGGTCAGGGGCTGGGATGGGACAAGGTCTTCCGCGGAGCTCCACGCCTGACCCGGAGCCTTCTGCAGTCTCACACCACGACCCGGAGATCCCCTTCAACCACAGCTTCATCGAGCCGCCCTCTGCGGGCTGGGCCTCAGACGACTCCTTCTCTTCTGATCCCGAGTCTGGAGAGGACGAGAGCCCGGCCTACTGCGTGCCACCCCAAGAAGGTAAGCCCCCCAACAGCCCGCTCGGCTCCGAGCAGCCCTGCCCACTACCACTTCTTTATTCCTGCAGCAAACATGTATCAAGTGCCCATTTGAGTGCAGGTCAATTTCCTGGCTGTGGGACATAGTAAAGAACAAGACAGAATATTCCTGTCCTCACCAAGCTCGTCGTCTGGCGGGTGGTAATCAGGCACGTGTGGGACAGAGTGAGCCGTGCTTTGATGGGGGACATGCAAGTAGGGGCTCACAATCCGGCCGTGTCAGGGGTGATTAGGGTCAGGGACGATGTCTCAGTGTTGGTGATATTGGAGTTGAGTCTAGGAGAACCAGGAGGAGTCAACCAAGTGACCGCTAAAGAGGGGTGGGAAAGGTGTTTCGGGAAGAAGGAACAACACACACAAAAGCCCGCAGGTGAGAGGGACACGACCGTGTGGCACTGACAGAGTGTTAGCTTGCTTAGGGTGTGGCATTAGTTCAAGGGGGAAAGGGTGGTGAGGAAAGTGTGTAGAAGGAGTCATGTCTCCCTGAATAGGCCCTTCCCCTGCCTCTGTACCCTCACCCTCTTCGCCCCATGGATGAGGCTTCCCAGCAGATGCTAAACTGAATAAACAAGGACGAATTGGGATGGCCAGCCCAGCTTTGGCCAAGCTCTTCTGTCTCCTCTGCCAGGGATGGTCACTGTGGCCCACGGAGAGTTTCCAGAGGCCAGCCTGGCTGGAGGTCCCATCCCTCCTCCTGAGGACGCCTCCACACCATTCCCCATTCCGCGCACTTCCAGTCTTGCACGGGCCAAGCGGCCATCAGTCTCCTTTGCCGAAGGCACCAAGTTTGCGCCACAGAGTCGCCGAAGCTCAGGGGAGATCTCCAGTCCTCTCCGAAAGCCCAAGAGGCTCTCCCGGGGGGCCCAGCTGGGTCCTGAAAGCCAGGAGGCTGAGGAGTCCATGGGCTCAGAGAAAGCAGAAATGGATGAGACCCTTCCTGGTGCTGCCAGCCCCAGGGATTCAGCCACTGGCCGCCGCCGGCTCCCCCTTGGTGGCCGGACAGTGGCTGAGCGTGTAGAAGCCATTGAGGGCAGTGTCCTGGAGGGCTCAGGCTCTGTGACCACGATCTACATGCTGGCAGGGACACCCCAGTTATCTGAGGGCCCTGTCCGGTCTGTTCTCCGCCGTTTTGGTAGCTTCCAGAAAGGCCAGGCAGAGCCCAAGGTCAAGAGTGCCATCCCTAAGCCTCCACGCCGGGCCCTTAGTCGAAATAAGGGCAGCTCTGGGCTGGCCTCTGGCTCTGCCAGTCAGAGCCCCAGCTTAGCCCCGAATGATGAGCTCACTAGGCCCTTGGAGTCTGCAGGAACTGGGCCAGAGGAAGTGGCCAGGGGGCTAGGGGATGGCACCAAGAGCTCAGGGAGGGCCCAGGAGCTGGCCCCTGAGGGTGGCCCCCAAGAACAGGATCCCCAGAAGCTGGCTGATGGGGAAGGGCAAGAGGAGCCCCAGTATGAGAATGTTGCACCCATCTCTGGGCCACCAGCACCCTGAGAACCTTGAATTTGGAGAGTTGGAAGACTATGGATGGGGGGTAGGCGTCTGAACTGCCCCTGGATCAGATTGTGTTTTGCTGGAAAAAGATCTCAGGGCCAGGAAAGACAGACCAGAGCCTCTGCCCTTTCATGGGGAAACGTCAGAGTTGGAGGCCAGTTGGCTCTGGGCCCTGGCAGTGCTCTGGGAGTGGTCTGGAAGGCCTGGGCAGAGACCCCATAGGGTGGGGTCAGGAAGGGGAAAGAGATGACTGCAGGGACTTTGTTGTCCTGGACTCTGTTTGCCCCCAAAGGCTATTCTTTTCTACATTTGCAAAACATTTTTCTGAAATGGGAAACAACCTAAATGTTTGATGATAAAAGATTGGTTAAAGAAAGATTGCTGGGGCGCCTGGGTGGCTCAGTCGTTAAGCGTCTGCCTTCGGCTCAGGTTATGTCCCAAGGTCCTGGGATTGAGCCTCGCATCGGGCTCCCTGCTCAGCAGGAAGCCTGCTTCTCCCTCTCCCACTCCCCCTGCTTGTGTTCCCTCTCTTGCTGTGTCTCTCTCTGGCAAATAAATAAATAAAATCTTAAAAAAAAAAAAAGAAAGATTGCTTATGATAGGTTCCTAAACAACCACTAAAAATCATGTTGTTTAAGAATATTTAATATGGGAAATATGGGAGACTGTTTATGCTATACTGTTAAGTATAAAAAGTAAGGTTTCTTTTTATAAATTTCATTTCTTTCTGCTTCAGGCTACATGTTTAGAATCCTTCCACTTTGTGTGTATTTTGTGATTGTTTTACAAACTTTTTTTTTTTGTAAAGGATGTATGTGCATAAAAAAGATTTGAGGGAAAGGCATCAAATGGCATTTTTCCTGCCCTGGGAGATGAGACTGTGGCTGATATTTATTTTCTTTGTAAACTTTTGTATTATTTGTAAATTTTCTTTAGTAAACATTCTTTTTACTTTTCTCACTAGATTGAATTTTTAAAAAAAATTATAAAAAACAATGTTCTTTGTTTAAAATAAAAAAGTACTAACATTACAGACATGTATAAAGTAAAAAAGAGATTTCCCTTTTCCTCAGAGGAGCCTGAGGGACAGGGTAGGGACCTGACTTACTTGTCACTGAATGTCTTTTGGTCTTGTTTGAGTTCTTTTCTCACATATTTGAATTACCTAGTCAGGACAGAAACAGTGGCTTCTCCTTCTATCCCAGTGCTCAGAGAATCTCGCAGTTTAGATCCTTCCTTTCAGAGGTTTTTCTGGGTACATGAAAACAGAAGATCATATCGTTATCCAACTTGCTTTTTTACTTAACAATGTATCCTGGTTATATTTTGATGTCAGTATACATTAAGCTACCTCTTTTTATAAAAAATGGCTGCATGGAATTCCATCATGTGGGATAGCACAGGTTATTTAAATCATCCCCTACCTGTGGAGATTTGGGTCGTTTCTAATCATTTTGATACAATAAATGATGCAGTGTACTACTTTGTCCATATTTCTTTTTGCACTGTGCAAGTTTTTCTGTAGAAGAGATTCCTAGAAGTGGAATTGCTGGGTATAGGATAAGACATTAAATATTTGGATACTTATTTCAGATCACCCTCCAAAAAAGTTACATGGTTTTGTATTCTTACAAATGATGGCAAGATCTATTTCCCCACGCCTAGTCTGATAGGTTGAAATGGTATCTCATTATTTTAGCACAATAAAAATAATAAAGTGATAACATGCTAAAGCTTCTTAAAAAGTTAAAATCTTTGTACAGATAAAAGGGTTTTTTTTTTTGCTTTTGTTTTTTAACCATCAAAAATTATATCATTAAAATGTGAATTTCTATGATTATTCTAAGTTTGAGCTTCTTTTTGTATCTTTAATAATTATTTGTGTTTTTTTCCTATGAGTTATCTGATTATATTCTTTCCCCAATTTTCAACTGAGGTGTTCATCTTTTCATCATTGATTTATAAGTGCCTATGTATATCAAGGATATTAATTCTTTGCCCCATTTGTGATTGGTCATTTAATGCTGTTTGTAGTTTCTTTCTTCTTTCTGTATAGAAATTAAAAATTTTAAATTTAGACAGTCTTTTTTTTTTTTTTGGTGGGCAGCAAGGCAAGGTTTATTGAGTGACAGCAAAGTGTAGGACAAAGCTCCTGAGGAGGGAGGGGACCGGAGAGGGTTGCCACCCGAGTTTTTAAGTCTAGGGGGTTTTTTGGGTTTGTTGGCAGGCTGTTTTGATCTGATTGACCGTCCCGGTGCCTGTCATCCAGTCAGGTTTTTGTCACAAGGGAAAGGGAGGAGGGCTCCTTCCAGAGTGGTGTAAAATCCTTTTAAGGATGGTTTCCCCTTAGGGTGGGGCCCCTTTAGACAGTCTTTTTCTGTTTGACGTCTGAGTTTTTGTTTTTTTTTTTAAGATTATTTATTTGAGAGAAAGAGAGAGAGAGAGAATGAGAGAGCACCAGCAGGGGGAGCAGCAGAAGGAGAGGGAACCCTGGACTCCCCACTGAGCTGAGCAGGGAGCCCGAAGCAGGGCTCGATCCCAGGACCCTGGCAACATGACTTGAGCCAAAGGCAGATGCTTAACCAATTGAGCCACCCAGCCACCCCTTGACTTCTGAGTTTCACATCATGCTTAGTGGAAAGGCCTTCTCTACCCTAAAATTAGTGAAATAATCATCTGCATTTTCTTCTGGTACTTTAGTGGTTTTATTTCTTTATGATTTGCCAGCAGTGCTGGTGTTGGGGCTTTAACACCCTTGACAAAAAGACTGAGAAAAGAAACCCAGAATTTCATTCAAATAGCCATGGATTCAAATCTCAGTTCTGATAATACTTGTGACTTTGAAATGGTATTTAAAACCTCCGTTTTTTCATCTGGGGACTTTGGAATGGGGATCCTGGCCATCTCCCAGAGTTATTGTAGGGATTAAATGACATAAACTACATAAAGCACCTGGGAAATTTTTAGTTCTCCATAAAGGGTAATTACTATTCTCATCACCATCGTTCTCCCAGCTTTGAATCCTTTGTCCCAAGAAGCTGATACTTCCACCCCTTTTCATTTGTTCATGTTTTCACTCAACAAGTCCAATATTGTGCATCTGTTTTGTGCTTCTGTGTTAAGGGCTGGTAGACAAAGCTGAGTAAGACATAGTTCTTGCCCCTAAATATTTGTTCATAGTCAGTGGGAAAAGGGAGGGACAAATAGAGGAACAGATTAATTATAAAACAGTGCAATCAGTGGACTAAGATAGTAAAGAATATATTGGGGAGTGGTTAGGGAAGGCTTCCTGAAGGAGGTGCTGTCCAAGAAGGGTCTATGTTTGAAGGCCAGAGGTGAGAGTAAGGCACCTGCAGGCACCACAAGCAATTCCATGTGATTGGAGCATCTAACTTCTGGCCAGTCAACCAGCCTCTAGGTGGAGGAAAAGACTGGTAGGGACTGTGTGGGTTAGGCAGGAGAACTTGAACTTTATCCTACAGGACAAATGGTAGAGAAGAATTGAGCGGAGGTCAGATTTACTAAGGTCAGATTTACCTTTCCGACAGCTCACTGGGATGGGGTTGGGTGAAGAAATGTATCTGAAGGGCTGAGATTGGAGGCTGGATGAACAGCAGTTGCAGTCCTAGGGACACAGGCAAATTAGATAAACATTTTAGGAGATATGGCTGTATTGGTGGGATGGGGGTGGGGTGAAGGAGAGGGAGAATGATGGAGAATTTAAAACAAATTTCAAATATTTGTTGAAAAGATGGTTCACGGTATCAAACTTCGGTAGGTAGTGGTGCTATTATCTGAGAAAGAATGAGAGGGACAGTTTTGGGGGTAGAACGTGAATTATGTTATTTTTTTAAAAGATTATTTATTTGAGAGAGAGAGAGAGCACGAGAGAGAGCATGTGGGAGGAGGGGCAGAGAGAGAAAATCTCAAGTTGACTCCCCACTGAGCAGGGAGCCAGAGGTGGGGTTCAATCCTATGACCCATGAGATCACAACCAGAGCCGAAACTGTATGACCGATGAGATCACAACCAGAGCTGAAACCAGGAGTTGGAGGCTTAACCAACTGAGCCACCCAGGTTCTCCGAAAGTGAATTATTTTAGAGGTATGTTTGAAACAGTTCAGAGATGTGTATGGAACAGCTGCCTGGAAACGTTCCTCAGGCAGGTGGCCGTAAGGAGGGAGGTAAGGACTGAAGTTTATCAAGTGGCAGTCCCAGTGAGTGCGTGAGATTCTGCGGGGTGGGTAACCGGATAGGTAACCAGCCAGGATCCCCCAAGCCCACAGAGCCTGGCGTGGTGTAAGCAAGGTTGCCAGCGGTGGGTTCACGGCGGCAGGGGGCGCACTTGGATGCGGGGACGTGAAACAGGAGGCTGCTGAGGCTCCCAGGGTCCTGGAATAAGTTAGCTCCCAGAGTGTGCCAGGGAGACCTAGCTGAATCTGGGGTAGACCGAGGGTCTTCTGAGATCCGGCTAGCGGCTCTGATCGGGGACACGCATCTGGGCTGCCGAACCTCCCCAGTGCCCGGGCTCCATCCCCCTGCCCTAGCTCTCTGGGGGCAGGAGCATCTCTTTGATCAGATTGGAAGTCCGGAGCCCTCCCGACTCCACATGCTCTCCCAGAGGCGCTGCCCGCCGCGTCACCAAGTAGAGAGGGCCCTTGAAGTTGACGTCCAGGAATGGGACGTAAGAGGGTGGAAGTGGTGCAAGTCAGTGGAGATGGAATGGTCAACTTTGCGTAGAGATCCCCAAGGGGACCAAGGAGAGCAGGAAGGGGAGGCAGTCTGGATGGGAGCAGACCGTCCTAGGGTACAGACAAGTCCGAAACTTCCACCTAGGGATCCCCAAAGGCCATCTTCCAGGGACCGGGCAAATGGCACCCAGGAGAGGGGTCCGTGAATCAGGAGAGCAGGGAAGAGGCACACCACGCCTGGACAGGGGTCCGGGGATCCGGGATGTGCAGACAGCGCCTGGATGGAGGACACTGGGGGCAGGTGAGCGAGGAATCAGAACACAAAGCCCGAGGCAGCCGGGGATGGCAGCGTTGCGTGGGAGAAGCAACCGAGGCGGCGGGAGCGGAACGACCCACACGCAGCCAGAGCATCGGGACGTGGTGCCCAGATCAGAGGGGAAGATGGGGACTACTTAAGCGGGCCGGAGGAGAAGGGAGCGCAAGAGCCCAGCTGGGTGTCAGAAGGCGACAGGCACGCAGTCCGGAGGGTACCGGAACATCGACCGGAGGAACTTGACCCAGGTGGGGCTTCTGAGTAAGGCTCTGGAGAGACGTTGGGGCAATGCCCCCGGGGATTCCCAGCCCGGCTGTGACTCCAGCTGAAGGCGGCAGAGGAGAGGCACGACCCGCCGCTGCCCCTGCCCCCCCACCCCCCTCGCCCCAGCTCTCTTGTTTGTCTCCAAGTCCGGCCGGAACCGGCTTCTGCTCGCCGCCGGGCGGGCGGGCGGCTGCTGATTGGTCAATGCCTGTTTCCAGCCCTCACTCAGCCAATCAGCGTGCGTCAGTGTTTTCATCTCGGGTTGGAATAAAAGCGCTGGAATAAAAGGAGGCAGAAAAGGCGCCGGCCGGGCCCGATACACGCTTGTAGGAGCCGGGTGAGCTGGATCTTGGGGACCTGGGTCCTGGGCAAAGGTGCTAGGGGGACAGAAGGCGCACGAATAGGGGCATAGAGAGAAGACGTGTGACCGATGAGCCGCCAGGAAAGAGATGACGAACAGAGGACACTGCTAGGAGATGGAGGGACGGGGATCCGCTTCCATGGGAACAGACTAAATGCCGAGGAAACAGCCCGGGAGGGGGGTCGCGCAGGTGGCTCGCGCCGCCGGTTTGAACCGGCTTCGCCTCTCCCATGCGGGGTTCGCGTGGCCGCAGCGCCTAGCGACCTAGACGGCGGCCAATGGCGCCGCAGTTTCTAGCCGTCAGGCCAATGAGCGGGCCGGGGGCGGGCCGTTCTGGACGCCGTGCGCTGATCTTGTGGTTGAAGGAACCAGCTCTGAGGAAGGGTCTGGAGTGCGGGCGGGAGGGCGCCTGTCAGGGTCCCAGGGAGTGGCAGCCCCCAGGTATGGCCCTGCCGAGGTATCCGGACCTAAGGTGCCTCTCCTGCCAGTCTCCAAGCTGTGTCAAAGCTGCGGAGAGCCAGGTTTAATTCCACGTCCCTGAGCCTGCCTTAGTCCCTCCTGTCTCCATGCCTCGGGTTACCTCGGAACCAGCCGAGGGAGAGGTCTCCCTGCCGGGCCGGGGCCGCTGTCCCGTAGCTGAGCGCAGACGCGCGAGCCCGCCGCGGACAGGCGGGCCCAGGACCCGGGCCGGGCTGGGGCTTCCTTCGCCGCGCGCACCTACCGCCTGGGCCGCGGAGGGGTGACAAGCGCCGCGCGCTGCGGCAGCGGCCCGGGTTGGCCGCACGGGCTGGGCAGGGCCGGGCGCTGACGCCGAGGTCTGTGTGCAGGTGGCTGCCGAGCCCGGAGCCGAAGCCGGAGCCGGGCCTCCGCGCCGCGCCATGGCGCCCACCCTGGCCACTGCCCATCGGCGCCGCTGGTGGATGGCCTGCACAGCCGTGGTGGAAAACCTCCTCTTCTCGGCAGTCCTCCTGGGCTGGGGCTCGCTGCTCATCATGCTCAAGTCGGAGGGCTTTTACTCGTACCTGTGTACTGAGCCAGGTGAGACGGGCGGCTCGGGCTCGGGTTCGGGGTGGTTCCCGGAGTGGGAGCTTTGGGAGAGGGCGAGACAGCCCTGAAAACCCGGCCAGCGATACCCCCTCGCTGCGCAGCACCTCCCCTTGAGCAGAAGCCCCATTTGATCCTCAGCCAGCTCTGCCGGGTACGTGTCATTGCCTCTGTTTTGTGGATGAAGAAACTGAGGCGCAGACCGATCTTCTGGCTTGCCCAAGGCCACACAGCTGACTGCGGTAGAGCCAGAATCCCCCAAGTCCAGGGTGTTCTTCCCGCCGCCTAAGGAACATTGCAGGACTCCTCTCCTTCCAGTGCGTAGCACATCACTTGTCTTACACTAAATATGTGGCTCCCTGACTGTGAGAAAGAGGAACTCCTGACTCAGTGGCTGGGGTGCAGAAAGAGAGAGGAAGTGGCTTGGCCTCCACCCCACTGAAGATTCATCTGGAATCTAGATGTGTTTTAGTCAGGCCATTATGGAGTCTCTTAAGGGCATGTCAGCTACAATTTCTTGTCTATTTTTGCTGCTTTATGATTTTCCAAAGGACATTTCCTCCCACAGGCTCTGAGAACATCCCAGTGGCCTTCTATCTGCACGCCATCGTGGAGGGAGGCAAGGCGGGTATTTAGGGAAATAACACTGGTTCTGTCCTCTGTCTTTGCCACACCATTGGTGTTGCTGAATACAGGCTGAGGATGCTTGTTTATAAGGAATCTAATCCCCACTCCTACCTTCACACCCCCCTGACCCCGTCTGAGGATCCTAATTGCTGTAGATCAGTAGATTCAGCCAAACAGTGGGACCCAAGTGGCTCCCCACCTCTACCCTCCTACCCCCTTCCTAGGTAACCTTGATAAGAAATGTTTCCTTCTGCCCTCTGCTGTCCCCAGCAGTGGCTACCTAATAGTTGAACTCTGTAATGTCTCTTCCCAGTGCCTTTGTCAGCCAGCCCCTGCGTGAGTCCCCTTAGAGGGAGATAGCCCAAGTTTGACCCTCTGAATCACACCACTGGCATGCCTTTTCCTCTTAGCATTCTAAACTGGGGGGAAGAGAAAGCATTGGACCAGCTCATGCTGCCTGTAACCCCATGTAGAGTCCTTGTTTCCCGTTCCTGATAGTCCCAGGAGATTTCTGAGTGTTTCAGTCTCTAGGGAAGCTTTGCTGGACAGGTTAAGGGCAGGAGAAACGGAGGGGATGCAGAGGTCACCTGGGAGAGGGCAGAGAGCATATCATTTATAACCTTTAGCCTTTAGCTACTCAGAAATATTTCCTAATAGCCTAAGGGTTCTTGGCAGACCTTTCCGCACATCAGCAAGAAATCTTGGGAGATGGGAGAGTCACTCAGACCTTGTTCCTTGAACAAGCTTTCTGCTTTGCCCAGGAGATGTTAGCAGATTAATGACTCTGGAAGGAGCAGTTCGGAGTGTTTGGCTCCTCCTCTCCCTCCCTCTCTCCTCCGTTTTAGATCATGACCCTTCCTGCCTCCCTCTTTGATGGATTCATTCAGGCTGCACCGAGGGTTTTAAAAACAGAGAGAAACAGCATCATCCCCAGATGAAACTTTCAGCGTCTCGTCCAGACTGAGGGACTGTTGTGGTTGATTTGGGGGGTGGGGAGGAACCTACTGTACAAGGTCAGATTCTAGGTTTTTTTCCTGAGATTGTCCACTGATTTAATTTATTTTATGGTCTTGGCAGCACTGGGGCTGGTCACTTCATTCTTGCCTCAGCCTTGGCTTCTTCCGCCGTCTGAAGGGGGAGGAGTTGCTGAGATTGTGGCGACACAGTGCTGAGCTGGTGCTGAAGCCCGTGAGAAGCTTGACCCGTCCCTCCTATAAACCAAAGTGAAGGTGAAGGGTCAGGGTGGAGGTTGAACATCAACTTCTTATCCCGTGCCTTTGCCCCTGCCTTTGATTTTGTTTTTTCTGACTACCTGGCAAACCTGCTGACCCAGCATCCTGGATGGACAGCCCTGCTGATTCCACATAGCTTATCTCTCTGGCCTCCCTGCTCCTTGCTTCTTGGAGTCCAAGTAGCCTGTTGCCTTTTGGAGGCAGGAGTCTCCTCCATGCCTTGCCTCACTGGGAGTGCTTGGAGGAGTTAGGGTCAAGGTTTCTGCTCAGGTCTAATATTTTCAAGCTTGGTGGATGGCTGACTGGCAGAGAAGCAGTTGGGCCGTTTATGGAATTTATCGTATTAGACTTGTGAAAAGCTGACTGGTTTGCAGCTGCTTGAGATGCAAATTCGTCAGCTTTTTGTTGCTTGTAGGACCTTTGCTTTGAGTTGTTCTCTCAAGAAAATTTGCCTAAGCCTGTTGAAAGGTTCTCAGAACTCATTCTTGGGACTCCAGCCAGAATCTGGCCCTGGACACGGTGTTGGGTTCCAGTGTGGTGAGGTGGGAGAACGAAAGAACCTGTTTCTCTGCTGCCTCTCAGCTCTTTCTGCCTGGCCCACCACATGAGATTGATAAGGACCCGTGCCCCGCATTTGGGCTCCGCCTCCCCAGCCCCCCCTGGTGTGGATAGGAGGCTGACTGGCTTCCCAGCCTAGGAAGTACGGGGCTTTCCCAGAACTGTGTCCTTTTGGCCTCCGGATGACCGCCATACCTACCCACTCTTGACCTCTTTCTTCATTTTCCCTGTCATCTGATGGCCTGCTTGGACAGGGCCAGGTCAGGGGGCTGTTAATCTCCTCTTCATCTAACCTACATGTCTAGTAAGCATTTATTGAGGTATTGTGCTCGGGGTGCAGTCCTGGCCCTCAGGGAGTCTGTAGTCCACCAGCATCAAACACACAGACCATATACTTCCCAAGTGGTGGTCCGGACTCCAGCGAGAGCAGTGGGGATCTGGTTCAACTTGAGTGGGAGGGCCTCTCTGATGTTTAGGCAGAAACGTGGAGGGCAAGAGAGGTGAGTCGGGAGAGGAGGGGGCAAGAAGAGGTGGGAGGGGGCCAGGGCCCACAGGGCCTAGGAGGCCACTTGGGGAAGTTGGATTTTATTCTCAAGGCAGGAAGAAGTGACAGAGGCAGAGGAGGGTGACGATCAGATTCACCTATTAGACTCTTAGGAATTGTTGAGGTCTTGCCACACACTGGGCATGTGTGGGGTGGGAGTCGTGGCCTCTGCCTGAGGAAGTCACAATCCGGCTCATCCGTGGACACCAAGGCTGACCTGAGTGCTCTGCTCTTGACCACTGCAGTCTCTCTGCGTGTGCTGACAGGCGAGCCTTACCCCTCACGAAACACTGCAGGAAGCTGGTCCCCTGGGCCCCGAGGGGGCAGAGGGCTGCGGTCAGGCAGGGAAGCAGAGCCAGGCCTGGTCCCCCGCACATGGGCCGAGGCTGCAGATGTGGACAGGAGACATTCCCTGCTGCTTGGAGGCCCTTTTTTTTTTTTAAGATTTTGTTTATTCGACAGAGAGACACAGTGAGAGAGGGAATACAAGCAGGGGGAGTGGGAGAGGGAGAAGCAGGCTTCCCGCCGAGCAGGGAGCCCGATGCGGGGCTCGATCCCAGGACCCTGGGATCATGACCTGAGCTGAAGGCAGTCGCTCAACTGACTGAGCCACCCAGGCGCCCTGGAGGCCCTCTTTTAATGGTCTCCTCCTCATGCAAAGGCTGCTGGCTTTTGAGAGCTTTTGAAAACCCACCCTTTTACTTGTATTGCTGTGAATGTGACTGTTTCCACTAGCCCTACTCCCACCCCCCACTCCCGGGTTTATTTTGGATTTAAAAAAAAAACAAACAAACCATTCTGTAGCAGCGGGGTAAGAAGGTCTGAAGGCTGGTGCCCACAGCCTTGCAACATGTCAGAGAAAGGAGCTGGCGCCCTCAGCCTTTCCTACCAACCCTGCCTTTCTTCTTCCCATTTCATGACCCACTTTCCCTCTCCCACATCCGCTGGCCCCACCTGCCTTCGTGGTGTTGCATTAAGGTTCTGTCCAGCTTGGGTTGACTTTCAGGGAGGATCTTGGGGGCAGTCCCATTCACACTGGGCGTCATTAAGGGCCACCTGGTGCTGTCCCTGACACGGTGACAGCCTTGTGTGTCTCCGTTCCTTCCGCATATTCTCTCTGAAAGCCTCTAACCCAGGTAGTCCAGCATCAGCACAGCCTAACGGTTAAAAGCAGGAACTTAGAAGCCCAGCAGCCTGGATTCAAGTCCGGCTTCTCCATGATGTACTATCTATGAGACATCGGGCAAGCGACGTGGCCGTTCCAAAGCTCTTGGTGTGCTGGTGTGGAGTATGGGTGGGGATGAGAGAGCACTAAGTGACACGGAACGAATACCACTGAATAAGTGGCCGGCACACAGAGGCAGTCTGTGGCCACAGCTCGGGGCTAGGCTCCGGCCTACCCAGGATGGCCCGCTGACTGTCTGTGTCCTGCCTTTTGTTTGCTCTGCTTCTGAGGCTGACCTCTCACCTACATCCCCCTGTTGGACCTAGATACTGCTTCCTGTTGCCGGATAGACTAAGGATTTGGGAACGAGACAGGAGATCCTGGGGCAGGGACCATTGTCAGGGAGGTCCAGGGGCCTGCATCCTGGGTGGGTGGGTGGGGGGCTCAGTAAGCAGTCAGAGAAAGGGGGCTGCTCAGGAGTTTGGAGGAGCCTCCAGCCCAGTGCCCCTTTCTCCTTTAAGCATATGCAGCCAGTTGTTCAGCTCCCCATTCCCTTTGTTTCTCTGGGGTGGGAGGAAACCCCTCTTTGACCCAGGGATGCCAGGGGAGCCCGAGTGGGGTCATAGCACCCCCTTTTGTCCTCTACTTTCACTGTACAGATTGTGTGTGAGTCTTCTGCGAGGAGGCCTGAACAGTGCAGGCATTGTTCTCTCTTCCCGGCCCCTCAGCAGCCTCACAGCAATTCGGCACACTCTGGCCACACCAATTCCTTGCCTGTCCTCTTGGTTCACCTTCCCAGCTGGGCTGGGCCAGGCCACTCTGGCCACCCACGGAGAGGCATCTGTTTGATAAACAGGTGCAGGTGAGGTGCAGAACAGGCTGGGCTGGGGCAGGCCTGCGCTCTAGGCTGGGAGCAGAGGGGCACCCTGGGGATTGACACTTCTTTGGTGCTTATCTGTTTGTGTCTCTCCTGGCCCACAGTGGCCCAGGTGGGAGCAGAGAGGGAGGAACAGCCTGGGTGTGGCTGTGTTTGGGCATCTGCCGGATCTGTGATTATTCATGTGGGCTGTTTACTGCCAACAAAGCTGGGCTCATCAAAGATTTAGTCTCCTCTAGGAGCAAGGGACTCTCTTGCATTGCTTCATGGGCAGACAAGAGAGGCCACTGAGACTCCCTACCCCAGGCTTATCTGTTGCTGGACATCACTGCCTAGAGGCAGGCGCGCAGGGGTCAGGCAGTCCAGTTGGCAGGGATTTTAAAGAGAGAAAGCTGGAGATGCCTGGGTGGCTCAGTCGGTTGAACGTCTGTCTTCATTCGACTCAGGTCATGAACCTAGGGTCCTGGGATCGAGTCCCACATCGGGCTCCTTGCTTAGCCTGGGAGGAGACTGCTTCTCCCTCTGCCTGCTGCTCCCCCTGCTTGTGCTCACCCTCTCTATCTGACAAGTAAATAAAATCTTTTCTTTAAGGTTTTGGTTTTTTTAAACAAATAGTTTATTTATTTATTTGAGAGAGAGAGAGAGCACGAGTGGGGAAGAGAGGGAGAAGTAGGCTCCCCCACCGAGCAAGGAGCCCGACATGGGGTTCGATCCCAGGACCCTGGGATCATGACCCCAGCCGAAGACAGACACTTAACCGACTGAGCCACACAGGCTCCCCTAAATAAAATCTTCAAAAAAGAGAGAGAGAGAGAGAGCTGGTGGCCCAAAGTGTATATAAGTCCCTGTTCCTATGTGTAGTGGCTCCAGGATGAAAGATGGGGGACAGGGCGCCTGGGTGGCTAAGTCGGTTGAGCATCTGCCTTTGGCTCAGGTCATGATCCCAGGGTCCTGGGATCGAGCCCCATGTCGGGCTCCTTGCTCAGTGGGGGAGCCTGCTTCTTCCTCTGCCGCTCCCCCTACTTGTGCTCTCTATCTCTCTGTCAATTAAATAAATAAAATCTTAAAAAAGAAGACGGGGGACAGATACTCTTCCCTCCATTCCTGCCTCTCCTCATGAGTGCCCTCGTCTAGTTATATCTAAACAATTCAAGATGTTTCCACCGCTATCCCCAGTTATGGCAAGTCAGAGGGACTGCCTTGAGTACATTGCCTTGGGATTTATCTTCTCTCTTGTGGCGAGTACAGTCTTGGATTTAGGGGTCCAGCTCTGGGGAAACCAGGGGCGGACACCCTGGGGCCTCTACTCAGAAACAGTGCTGCCTGGCTCCATCTGTTTGTTACCTGCCCTGCTCTGGCTCCCCGCGTGCAGCCGCAGACCCCAGAACGGCCCAAGCCCTGAGTCCTTTTGTGTTCTTTAGTGCAGTCACAGGCTCCAGACCCTGTGTGGCCACAGTCAGGGTTCACAAGCCAATGATCCTGGACCCCGAGGTGCCTTTTCCACCCTTCCACTCTGACACCTGCTCTGCTTTGCTCGTATCCGCACACCAACCTGGAAACGGCCGTTGTGGTGTGGAGACCCTGTCTTCCCACTTCACGTCCAGTTCCTGTTGCTGCTGGCCGCCAGCCGTCACCTGAAGCCAGAGCCAGCTTGAGGGGCGGCTCCGCCTTTGCAGAAGCTACCCCGCCGGGGATGAGCAGCGTGTGTGGGGGTTCTGACCGGGGTGCTGATGGACTCAGATGGTCCCGTTGGTCATGTGTTCTGGCTGTCAGCAGAGTGGGGCCTCTTTTAGGAAACAAAGTGGCAGGGATTGGGGGTGGGGAGAGAACCCGGCTTGTGGCTCCTTAGGTTTAGTTTCTGTGGTTTCGGGAGGTTGACCTCCTGCCTTTTATCTCCTTAAATCCCCTCTGTCTTCACCTTGGTTCCATACATCCTATTTCCTTTCTTTTCTCTGCATCCTTTTGGCCATCATGATCTGATTCCATGACTTCATCGTTTTCATTCATTCAGTAAACACCCGCTGTACACCAGGACCTGGGCGAGGGGCTGGGGACATGGGCCCCCAGCCAGTGGGAGACGAGACACAAAGTCCTGCTGCACACACAGGGTTGTGGAACCCTGCCCCCAGTTCCTTTGTCCAGCTCTGCCGCCAGCCAGTTACACCATCCCAAGCCTCCCATAATAGTGATGATAATAATAGCAATGTGTAGCTGTTGTTTATTGAGCACTTTCTATGTCCGTGTGAGCTCTAGAATGTTGTCCGGATTTCCTCATGTATCTTCCACCTGACTCTAGGAGGTAGATACAACTATTATATTGTGCCATTTTACAGATAAAGAAACTGAGATAGAGTGAGATTAAGTCCTTTTTCCAAGGTTATTCAAGTAGGAAGTAGAGGAACCAAAATTGAAACCCAGAGGCCAGGTTCTGGCACCTCACCCTCAGTCGATGTGCCCCCAGCAGGGCTTGTTAGTTAGAGGTTGGCATATAGCATGATTCACCCTCAGTGCATCCTTTTCCATGACCTTGGGGCAGCCCTGGGAGGCCTGGGCAGGCCTTTGCAGACCTCAGCTTTACAGCCCTGGCGCCAGAGGGCCGCAATCGGGAGGCGGGCAGTTATCGGGAGAAAGGTGTTTCCTTGACTCTCCCAGTGTGACCTCGCATCTAATCAGAGGCTGCTGGTCTCTGGCAGGATTAGTCAGCATCTCTAACTAGCAGTGCCGGGAGAAGGAGAGGCTTCCTCTGCCGCCTTCCGGCCTGGGCTCCACCCTCCCGCCCGCGGCTGCTGCAGCACTTCGTCCTCCCTATTTTTCGTTGTCTCGGTGCTGGGTGGACTTTGGAGGGGGGATTAGAGCCGAGATTGCAGGCAGCACACGTGTGGCCACAGGGGACAGCAACACTTGACCCCAGCAGGGAAAGTAAGAAAGGTGGACCTCAACAAGTGAAAGCTAATGACTTGGGACTGTCTTATAAAAACTTCTCCAAGGGGTTCAGTGGCACAGTGTCTGGGGTGCTTGATGCTGTGAAAATACCAGGGGGAGGTAGCAGATGGCTTATATGCTTGAGAAGTTTCCAGTACCTAGTAGTGCAGGAGGTCCTCTCACTCTTCCCCTTGGTTGACCGAGGAGGACCCGGGCACCGCAGGGACACCGGCAGCTTGTCCCTCCCGGGTGGTCTAGGATCGAGCCCTGACAGACTGGCTGCTGTCTGTTTCCATGGACAGAGCTGCTGAGAAGGTTTGGGCTGGCCTGTGGCCCCAGAGCCTAGGCTGGGTCCTGAGGCGTACGCTTCTCCGGTGTAGGTTGCTCTAGAACGGGAATCCCAACCCGGGGCTCAGGCATGCTTCAAGGGACACAGGAGACCCCTGAAACCGTGGGCAAGCCTTTGCGTGCCTTTTCTGAGGAGGAGGAGGAGCATAGCTTCCTTTATTGGATTCTCCAGAGGGTTTGCGACCTCCACAAAAGATAAAAGCCTCTGCATTATCGCTCCAAGGGGCCAAGTGGACAGCCGAGCCTGCTTGCAGTAGCCAGAGCCAGCCCTGCCATTTCCAGTGGAGTCTGCATGTGCATCTGCCCCTCTGATCTTTGGGAATCCCTGCCTCCACGCTGTGATCAAGTTTCCCTCCCTGTTCACACACAGAGACTGTCACCAACGGCACAGTGGGGGGCACAGCGGAGCCGCAGCAGGAGCACGAGGAGATAACCTGGATGAATGGCTGGCTCACCTGCAAGGCCCAGGATGAGATGCTAAACTTGGCCTTCACCGTAGGCTCCTTCCTGCTCAGTGCCATCACCCTGCCTCTGGGCATCGTCATGGACAAATATGGCCCAAGGAAGCTCAGGCTACTGGGCAGGTCAGTGCAGGGGTTGGGGGTGGGCAGGTGGCACTCCTGGGCTGAGATCCCCAGTCGGGAATCCTGGTTCCTGCGATCAGGTGCACTGTGGAGCTCCCTAAATGCTCAGAACCCAGAGCGGGGTTCCTGTCCATTCTGCCACCCGCTTAGTAGGACTGTGACCCCTGCCGTGTGCCAGTGCTGTATAAAACAGGCTCAGGGCCCCAGGCCCGCCTGGGCAGGCTTGCAGCTGCTTGCCGTTAAGAACACTGGTTTCCACAGTCTTTTTTTTTTTTTTTTTTTTAAGATTTTATTTATTTATTTGACAGAGACACAGCGAGAGAGGGAACGCAAGCAGGGGGAGTGGGAGAGGGAGAAGCAGGCTTCCCGCCGAGCAGGGAGCCCGATGCGGGGCTCGATCCCAGGACCCCGGGATCATGACCTGAGCCGAAGGCAGTCGCTCAACCGACTGAGCCACCCAGGCGCCCTCCACAGTCTTTTTGACCTTATACCTCCCTCAGAAAAAAAGGTTGTGAACACGTACCTCCATTATAAGCATGGAATTATCAGTCACATACACATCTGCCATTCTTAATGTTCTATGTGCTTTATAACGCATGTACCAAAAAAAGGTCAGTTAAAGTGGCTAAGATTAAAAATGATAAAATGGAAGTGCTGCTCCTTCTGCTACTCCCAGCACTGCAGTGAATCATCCTGCGCTCCTCCCGAGGTACGCGTCCCTGGTCTTAAAGCTCCAGGCTGCCACACTCGGAGTCCGTCCACCAAGCAGCTGGTCCTCTCAGGCCACGGTCCTCCCCAAACCAGTTCCCCTGGGAATGATCATCCGCAGGGCAGTGGTTTGCCATGGGTGAGACCCGTGACCGTGAAGGGAACGGGTGGAGGATCAGTCTCATCCATTCTTTGGAGCTGAAGAGGCCTTTGTCCTCAGGATGGAGCTAAGCAGAGAGGATTCCAAAGCCGCCACTCATCTCCCTCATGCCCAGTGGGGTTCTGTCACTCGCCTGGCAGAGAGGGCGTAGGAACCTGGGGAAAGGATCGTGCCCTCTCGCTTCAGAGCCGTGGCCTCTCCAGTCTGAGGATGGGAGGAGGCGGTGCAGTGTGGTGTTTACCGGATCTGCCTTTGGGCCTTAAATTCTAGCTTAGACACCTGCTAGCTAGGAGACTTTTGAAAATGTGTGTCTTTTTTTTCTTTGTTTTTTTTATTTTCTTCATCAATAAAATGGAGCCAATTATACTCCTTAGAATTGTTAAGTGAGAGAATGTATGTGAATTTTCTGAAGGCCTCTGACCGATAGTAAATACTTCCAAAGAATACTATTAACCAGAACAATTATACTAAATAATGTACTATTTCTGCTTGTTTTTAGTGCCTGCTTTGCTGTCTCCTGCTTGCTGATTGCATATGGAGCGAGTAACCCAAACTGTGAGTATGCTTTTCCTCTACCTTTTTGTTAGGGGCTGGGGAGAGAGTGCCCAGAGGTGCTCCCAGGCCCACCTGCTCTAAAAAGCCGTGCCAGGCCTGGTGCTCACTGCTCAAGTTAGAGGGCATGCCTGTTAGCCTTCACCCAGTTACTTGTGTTAAATGGGTGGCTTGGTAAGCCAGCAGTCACTCCGGACCGACGTCTGAGAGAAGCTCCTCGGGTGTATGGTAGTCCCATCCCAGCACCAAGCCAGGCCGGTCCCCGATGGCCAAGCTGATGGCTAAGCTGAGATGAGTTCTAAGAACCAGGCCAGCTGAGGGGTCTGTGCTTAAGTTGGGAGCTGAGTCCCCTGAGGCAGCCCAGGCCAGCACTGTAAAGATGGCTTAGAAGCTGGAGCGCCTGGCTGGTGCAATTGGAAGAGCATGCGACCCTTGATCTCGGGTCGTGAGTTCGAGCCCCACGCTGGGCGTGGAGCCTACTTTAAAAAAAAAAGTGGGGGGGCGCCTGGGTGGTTCAGTCGTTAAGCGTCTGCCTTCGGCTTGGGTTGTGATCCTGGGATCAAGCCCCGCATCGGGCTCCCTGCTCAGCGGGGAGCCGGCTTCTCCCTCTCCCTCTGCCTGCTGCTTCCCCTGCTTGTGCGCGCGCTCTCTCTCTCTGTGTCAAATAAATAAATAAAATCTTTAAAAAAATAAAAAAAAAAAGGCTTAGAATCCAACTGGTATCCAAGCCTGTTCAGTGGAGCTATTGCTTCAAGGACTTTCAGAACAAACACCAAAATCTTAGCTGGGCTCATCCACTAACTTTTGAGCACCTGTATTTTTGGTTTCAGTGAAGCAGCTTCTTTAGGCCTCTGGCGTGCTGCTAGGCTTAGTGGACAAAGAGGGGTGGGGATACACCGTTGGCAGGAGCCCAAGCTCTGTAAAATAGGCTAGAGGGGCTTGGTGAGGAAGAGGCTGTTGCAGCTCCCCAGGGGTCCGTCACTAACCCCAGATGGCTTGTCATCCATTCCGCTTGCTCCCTGCGAGGCGCTGGGCCAGGCCCTCGCCTCCCTTAAGCTCAGCTGTGGTTCCCCGATTATGAGCTCTCTGTTTCCTTACAGCTCTCTCTGTGCTCATCTTCGTTTCCCTGGCTCTGAATGGCTTTGGTGGGATGTGCATGACTTTCACCTCATTAACAGTAAGTATTGATTTTTTAAAGATCTCTCGTTCAGTCATCACTCTGTGAGTTTGAGGCAGCTTTTGTTGGCTTCAGTTTCCTTGCCTTCCACCTGCCTGCCTATGCCTGGACCTCCTAAGCAGGAGAGGGCTGCTGGGGATGAAGTGGCCTGGCAGCAAAGCCAGTCATGGCCTCCTGGGCTGGGGAGGTCCTGTAGGTAGGTCTGAAGGCAGCCAAGCATGGCTCTCAGAGCAGGCCGAGCCCTTGCCTGCTGACCTTGCCTTAGGTGCTGAGGAAGCCAGCTCACGGGCTGTGTGCTCAGAGAAGACAGGAGCCGAGAGAAAAAGGCTGCCACCCATGTTCTTTTCTCTCATTTTCTTTTCTTTTTTTTTTTTTAAAGATTTTATTTATTTATTTGAGACAGAGAGAATGAGAGACAGAGAGCATGAGAGGGAGGAGGGTCAGAGGGGGAGAAGCAGACTCCGTGCTGAGCAGGGAGCCCGATGCGGGACTCGATCCCGGGACTCCAGGATCATGACCTGAGCCGAAGGCAGTCGCTTAACCAACTGAGCCACCCAGGCGCCCTCTTTTCTCTCATTTTCCACGGCAGCTCTGGCTAACAGTGCAACCTAAAAACAACCCTCCCTTGGAATCTCCCCACCCCGAACTGTTGCCTTTGTCCAGAATGGAATGAAAAACTCAGGGGCGTACATGGCTGCCTCTCTTCTTGGTTTTCTAAATGCCAGCATACAGAGAGCCACCCTGGGGTGGGAGATGTTTTCTTGGGATGCTTGAGTGCCCCCTTATCTATAGCAGCAGAATACCACAGAACGTGCTTCTTTGTGAGGTGAGAGAGGTTGTTGGAAGAAAGGAAGTCAAAGAAGGCCAAAAATGTCTCCCCTAGGAGGAAGAAGGGAACTCTGCAGGCTGGCCCTTCAGAGCTGGCCAGTGGGAAAGAAGTGAGAATACTTCTTCAGAGAGATTTCTGTCTGACAGGAAAGTCTGGCTTGCCTCAGTTTCCCTGTGAGAAGGTTTTTATGACACAGTACCTGCCATCGCCATTTGCAGGGCGCTCCGGTCTCTTCCACTAATGAGTCAGGAGTCCTGCTGTTGAGGGGCTCTTGCTTGGCTTTGAGGGAGCTCTGGGGCTGCTGGTCTTCTCGGAAGGAGCTTGAAGAGGTGCTGGCGTCTGCGTGACCCCCTGCCTGCAGTCTAAGAGCCTGCGGCCAGGGCCAGTGCCTCTTCTTTTCCCCCTTCCTATGCTTTGCCTGGTTAACTTTGTCCCGGTGGGAAGGGGTGACTGTCTGGTGGAAGCCCATGGAAATGGAGAGTTCAGAGAAGTCTGTGTTAGGGGAGAAAGGCACAGCCGGGGCTGTGTATGTGGTATGCTTGGGCTGTAGGTGACACGTAGGTATGGGTGACAATGGGTGTGACTGACACGCACAAATCTGGGAACTCTGGCTGCCTTGTCCTCTGTGATTTGAGGAAGATTGACTTGGTACTCTTTTGTGCATTTTTACTTCTATTTTTTTAACCAGGTAGATTTCTTTTTTATATTTATTTTTATTTTTATTTTTTTTAAAGATTTTATTTATTTATTTGACAGAGAGAGACATAGCGAGAGAGGGAACACAAGCAGGGGGAGTGGGAGAGGGAGAAGCAGGCTTCCCGCAGAGCAGGGAGCCCAATGCGGGGCTCGATCCCAGGACCCTGGGATCATGACCTGAGCCGAAGGCAGACGCTTAACGACTGAGCCACCCAGGCGCCCCTAGATTTCTTTTTTAAACAGCTGTATCCCCCTCCCTCTCAAATTCTCAGGGGAAAACAGATGTCGAAACTGTAAGAAATATTTTAGAACTATCCAAAGTACACAAATCCCACTAAGTTGTGTAAATTTTGTGAAACAAAAGTCATGGTTCTGTTTGTTCTTTGACAGCGTGAAAATGCTTTCATCAAAATGAAAATTAAAATCCTGGCATCATCCCCATTATTTTAGTCATGCTGTGCCTATGTTGTGGTAGTTCTGAATTTTGGGATAAAAAAGAGATGGGTCTTGAATGTCAGGAGTTTATGCTCTGAGATGCAGAAGGATGCTTTATTGTAATAAAGCACAAGACAAATGGGTAAAAACCACCACACCATGAACCACCTTAAAGAAAGCCTGTGGGTGTGGAGGGCACCTGGGTGGCTCAGTCTGTTGAGCGTCCAACTCTTGATTTTGGCTCAGGTCATGATCTCATGGTCCTGGGATCTGGGATCGAGCCCCATGTCGGGGCTCCACACTCAGCCTAGAGTCTGTCTGTCTTCCTCTCTCTCTGCCCCTCCCCCCGCTCGCTTGTGACTCTTGATCTCCTGGTTGAGTTCAGGCCTCACGTTGGGTATAGAGACTACTTAAAAAAAAAAAAAAAGAGAAAAGAAAGAAAGCCTTTAAAATGAGCTTATAGTTGTTATCAAGGAACATTTAGGGGAGGCTAGCAGGCCTATGAGGATTTGTTTTCTGGATTTTTTTTTATGATTATAAACAAAAATGTTTTTATTTTAAGAAGTCAATATTTTAGGAATATAAAGTATAGACTGTAAAATTCTATAACCACACCTTCATCAGTTTAGAATATATCTCTTCAGTATTAAAAAAAAATCTGCATATACCAATGTTATTCTTTTTTGAAAAAAGGCTGTTACAGCTTGCCTTTTTCACTTACTTCTTTCACATGTTTTTCTGCCGGTACTTAGAAATCTACCTTATTATTTTAAACTCTAGAGCTCTACCCCATTATGAAACAGTTTTATGTTATTCTATAATATAGATGTACCATAATTTATTTAACGAGTTTCCTCCTCATGGACACTTGGGTTGGTTTCCAGTCTTTCTGATTTATGATGATGCTAGAGGGAACACACCCCTGTATATACCTTTCTGTAAAATAAATTCCTGGAAGTGGGATTGCTGGCCTTCCCCATAGGTTCCATCCTGATACTATTGTACCAGCATGGATGAGAGTGGCCCTTTCTCCACACCCCTTCCCCAGACCCTGTTATTAGTCTTTTAAATATTACCCAATCTGGTGAAAATGATATACCATGATTTTTTAACATTTTTAAAAAAGATTTTATTTATTTATTTGACAGAGAGAGAGTGCAAGTAGGCAGAGAGGCAGGCAGAGGAAGAGGGAGAAGCAGACTCCCCGCAGAGCAGGGAGGCCAATGTGGGGCTCGATCCCAGGACCCTGAGATCATGACCTGAGCCGAAGGCAGACACTTAACTGACTGAGCCACCCAGGCGTCCCTGTATACCATGATTTTAAGAAAAATTTTCTTTAATTGTTTGTGAGACAGAGCATCTTTCTACCTCTTTTTTGTGGTCATTTGTATTCTGTGACTTGTTTCTTTGTGCGATTTGTCAGTTTTTTCTCCAGGGTTGTTTATCTTTTTTTTTTTTTTTTAAGTGTTTTATAAGAGCTCTTTCATATATGTAAAAAAGTTAACTCTCTTTCTGATTGAGCAAGGGATCTTACCCTAGGGTTTTTAGGCCTCTGGGTGATCATGAATAAGCTTAAGGAAGGCTGTACTTCCCTTGAGATTGTATGCAAGCAAACTGTGTGTGTGCAGGTGCATTTTTCTGCGCAAGTGTCTGTTGCTTTCATCAACCTCTAATAGGTCTGTGTGAAGGTCAAAAGTACTGCAGCAGGAGCATTCCTGTTAGCTCCTCGCTGTCCCACTGGAGTCAAAGGTACACAGGATACACAGTGACCAGGCAAGAAAACCATTTGATCGTTAGCCTCAAGGGTTGGGTTAGCAGAGATCTGTTTAAGGGAGGCTGGTGGTTTGTCTCCTAAGGTCTCCCTTCTTGGGTCTAGAGCAGGGGTTAGCAAACTGCTGCCCCCAGGCCAAATCCAGACCACTGGTAGGTGTGGGGCGACCCGAGCGGGTGGAGGCCAGTGGCGCCGGCAGTGGAAGAATTCACCCCAGGCAGCACGAAGGACGCAGAAGTTTATTGAATACAAGGAAGCAGCTGGGCAGGACAGCGAGGGAGAGACTGTCTGCCAGGAGGCAGTGCTGGGGGGCTGTGGCTCGGGTGAGGAGTGAGGAGGTATGGGAATGTGTGGAATTTTCCATTTTTGGTACCGGGACGCGGTCGCAAGGGGCCCGTTGGTGAGCTAGGGCTCGCGGCTGTTGGGAGGCCGCTCGGCGGACGACTGTGTCTGCACTCAGCCCGGCGGTCACCGCCGATAGAGCCTGAGAGGTCTGTCCTCGCGGGTGATCCTTGCTCCCCGCACAGCCCTTCTACCCCACTCGGCTTCCAGGGCTCACACCTGCTGCCGCCGCAGTTGCGGGAGGGTGCGGATTGTGAACAAAGTTTCGTTTTTTGTATTTTTTTGTCTTTTTCAAAGATTTTATCCATTTATTTGAGAAAGAGAGAGCACAAGTGGGGGGGGGGCAAAGGCAGAGGGAGAAGCAGACCCCCTGCCGAGCAGGGAGCCAGACGCAGGACTCGATCCCAGGATCCCGAGATCCTGACCTGAGCCGGAGGCAGACGCTTCACCGCCTGAGCCCCCCGGCGCCCCAGTAACCAGAGTTCTACTGGAACACAGCTGTGCCTGCTGTTGACTGCCGCTGCCTCTGTGCTGTGGGGCAGAGTGAGGTGGCTGTGCAGACCGTACGGCCGGCAAGACCTAACATACGTGCCATCTGACGCCTCACAGCCTTTGGTCTAGAGGGGCCAAGAAGCGGCTCAGTTACTGTTCCCTGACACCCACGCCCTCACCCCCATCCTGCTGACCCCCCGTTCTGTGTACGTGGGCCAACTCCCTAAGCACTTTCTAAGTCATTTTCCCCCTCCGCCACTGCCCCTGGCCTGAGGGACCTCAGTGGGCGTTCTCCTGTCCAGTGCTGTCTCAGATGAGGGCTCGCATGGCTCTCTTTTCCAGAATAGACCCCAAAAGGGGAATGAGAAGCCGGAGCTCTTGGGCAACGTTTTAGGGCCGGCCGAGGCTTCTGCTGAGCAGAACTTTAAAAAGCAG